TCAATTAACATATTTTATTATCTTTTCATTTTAATTTATTGTAAAATAATTAGAATATTTAATTTAGCATCATTAAAAAAATAATCATTATAATATTTAATTTTTTTAATTTAATTATTTATTATAATACTTTTAGTCACTGTATTGACCAAAAAATAAATTTTAGATTAAAATATATTTTAAAATTATTTTTGGCTAAAATATATTCTAAAATTTTAGTTAATTCATTATAATATTTTAAAATAAATATTATTAAAAATTGTCATTAGATAAGTTATCTACGGAAATTTCTGTAGATAAGTTATCTATGGAAATTTTCATAGATAACTTATCTACGAAAAAATCCGTAGATAACTTATCTACGAAAATATCCATAGGTAACTTATTTACGGATTTTTCCGTAGATAAGTTATCTACGAAAATTTTCATAGATAACTTCACCTGTAAATAAATTTCTTAGGTTACATTTTATTTAAAACATCAATTAACATATTTTATTATCTTTTCATTTTAATTTATTGTAAAATAATTAGAATATTTAATTTAGCATCTGTTCTTATTGGAGATCGGTCGTAGGGGACGATCTGCTGGGTAAGATCGGTGAGCCTCCTTCACTAGGTACGCTTGTTGTTCCAAGACGAGGATAGTACCTACAAAAGAGACTCCGATGCTAAAGTTAGTGTTTGTGGGTGTATGAGTCTCGTATAAGTAATGCACGTACCTTTGTGTGAATTAGGGTTTCATTGGGCCTTGGGCCTAAGATCAGTTATGACCTATTTGGATGTCGGGCTGGCGTTGCCTAGCGCGTGTCCGAGGTCACTCCGCGCTGAGATGCCGAGCTCGAGCTCGGCATAGCAGTACGGATAGTACACTAGCCCCCGAGCTCCGAAGACTGTGGGTCGAGGTGTTAATGCCGAGCGTTCTCTGTTGTACTGCCATGTGTCATAACTGTCAGTTCGTGTTCCGAAACGCGGGGGCGGCGCGTTAATGGGAATGACGGTTATGTAATGATGGTAATGCTTCATCATTTTGGGGCCTCATTAATGTGCTGTCAGTCTTGTCCCCTTGTTGACACGTGTTATTGCCGTTTTGAATTTTGAAGGCCCCTTTTCTCTCTCTCGCGCCCTTTCTCCTTTCACTTTACTCTTTTCCATTGTCTTGCTTCCAACGCCTCTTCGTTTTTCTCTGCTTATTCTCCGTCTTTGCTTTCTTTGTCTCCGTTCTCCTCTGTCGACTTCTCCGGCAACCGAGTTTTCATCTTTCGTTATTGTTCTTTCATTTGTCAAAGGAGTACCAGGTACTTCGATTTCCCTATCTTCTTCCTTTTCTCAAATCTTTTCATCTTCTTGATGGTTGGTAACAGTGATGCCGCTCCTTCCGCACCTGCTAAGGGTAAAGGAAAGACGCGCGGTAAGGCGATGGCCGCCGAGACGGCCACGGCCGAAAAGAAAAAGGGGGGAGCCAGCCCAAGGAACCCTTCCCCGTCATCCCTGGCTACGACTGGGTCAGGGGTGACATTGGGGAATTCCAAAGTGTCTTCAAGTCGTTCATGGAGATAAATGTGATGCAGAAATCGCATAGGATCTGTGAACCATCCATTTCTAAGCTTATCCGGCTTGAACCCTGTCAGCCCGATGAGCGTGTATATATGGGGGGTACCTCTAACCCTCCTTTCTTTTACATGTACCAGTGTTTTTTTAGGGACTTAGGCGTATGCCTTCCCTTTACCCAATTTGAGTGTGATTTTTTAAATTTTATCAACTCGGCTCCTTGCCAGTTGCACCCCAATAGTTGGGGTTTTTTGTGGGCCTTCCAGGTCCTGTGCTCGACCCTAGGGATAGAGGTATCTCTCCCTGTTTTTCTTCATTTCTACCAACTGAAACTGGGTTTACCTCCCTATGGTTGGGTGTCGTTGAGTGGTAGTAAGGATGGAGGACTATTTTCTCTCTACTCCCAGTCTTACAAGAATTTCAAACAAGAGTTCTTACGGGTTTTGCTCAAGGAGGTCGACCAGCTGAAAGATGAGGTGTTCTACTTCGGCGGGTTGTCGAAGTTCCCTCTTTAATGGAGGCAGGCTCCGGCCATGTTTAATGGGTCGGCCAATCTGCAATTGACGGCCTCGGACGTTGCTGCCATTAAAGACCTAGAAGCACTTCCTCGTCCCTTGGATTGCAAGCTCGTTTTGTCGCTTGCTAACTCGATGTACAAGGAAAAGGGTCTAGAGAGTGAGTACCTGAAAATAATTTTTTTAATTAATAAAAAATTTAATTTATATATAAAAAAAATTAATTTGGCACCCCTAAAATTTTTATTGAAGTTCCGCCACTGATACCAGATAACATGGTTTCCAACATTTTGCATGATTTGATGATTTTGTTGCGCATGAATTCTTTGCCATCAGGTACTACTACAAGTTCATTGTTAATGGACAATGGAAGCATTCAAATTCTTCACCATCAGAAAGGGATGAAAGGGGAAATGTTAACAATATAATTGTGATTGGCGAAACTGCCAGCGTCAGGCCTTCTGTTCAGCACCAGCAGAGAGTATGCATCCAATTAATATGTGTTTTTGCATTTTGATTTAACTATTTATAATCCCATATAACTTGTTTTCCTTTAAAGCTATATTATTCTTGTGCTATTCTTTAAGCACTGCAGCTTGGCTGGCCTAAATAAATTATCTTTTCCCATTTAAAATTTTGCTTTCTGCTTTTACTTATTACTGCTAATACTTAATTGTTATTTCTGTGGGCAATCTGTATGGCCTATATTTCTTCACGGTTGCTTCATTTGTGTGTGCTTAGTAAACTTAACTAGAATTTCGTTACAGAAAGTTTAATCATTTAATCACTGTTTTATCTCTGTTGTTCTAGGATGCCAACGTCGTGAAGGTGATTGAAAGGCCTTTGAATGAGAAAGAGCGGTCTGGCAAAAGCAGCTCGTTGTATTGCCTTCTCTATCTGTCCTATCAGATTAGCTCCCAAATAGTTGCATGGAAATATCATAATGTACAGGATTGCCGTTGTTGCACGTTTCTGAGGTCACATAAAATTTGATCACAGTTGTGACTTGTGAAGGCACATAGCAAAGAGTTGTTAGCACACTTTTGGGTATATGATTTGGCATTCAACTTTTGAAATAAAAGAGATTAATCATGTTTACTGCACTGCTAAACTTTCCTCTCTTTCCGCAGGCCTATGTTTTTTTACATCATTCTGTTATTCGTAATAAATTTTCCTAGTCATCATAGTATAAATTCACGTGTAGTATTGGCTATTTACCAAATGTTTCTCAAGTAAAATGTGCTATAATGGATTACATATATTGCAGTCTCGACCCTATGATTCCATAATTTCCTATTTTCCGTTGTTTATACCGCTTACAGCTACGGACGTTTGATTGTGGTGCTTATATATAAGACTACTGTAAAGAATTAAATAAAAGTTCAAGATAATACAAGATAATGTTCAATTATTGCAAAATGGGCATAAAAACTGTTCAAGGTTGTCTATTTAATCTAGGATTAATGGCACTCAATTATTGCAAAATGGGCATAAAAACTGTTCAAGGTTGTCTATTTAATCTAGGATTAATGGCACGTTTTGCCATAAATCTCAGTTTTGTGAATTTGTATTTGCATATTTTATTACTTGCATAATTTAGCTTATTTTGTCCTGACATTGTTTTCCTATTGATAAAAAAAATAAATTGTCCTGACATTAAATGTCTGTTAGATTTTAAATAATACGGCTGACGAGTCCATGACCAGGCACATAATTTAGTACTTAATTTTGAAAATTCTGTCATCGAATTTATATAATTTTTCATTTTTTCATCTACCTTTCATAGTTTTGTGCCTTTCACCACAAAATTGAACATTAACTTGTCATTCAAAGTTTAATGGAATAACGTAAGAGCAAAAATGTGCAAAATTATAAAGTTTGGTGGTAAAATGTGTAAATAAAATAGTCGCGGTGATTAAATTGTTTTGTTGCACAACATTTTATAGTGTTATTATGATTTTTGTTCAGATAAACCAATAACTTAATTATGGAAGATTTATCATGTATTCATAAGCATTTAAGTATTTGTTATTTTTATAATTGAAGAGAAAATGTGATTAAATTGTTTTCATATAAATTGTAAGTTATATTCATGAGTTATTTTATAGTTTTTTTAAATAAACTAAAAACAGTTTATTTTCACAAGATTTTTTTTTTAATACTTACACAAGTATCTATGTCATAAAGATAGTTTATATGAATAGTAAATAAGTCTACGAATTTATGTTTATGTTAAATCAAAATTCCTTGCAATAAGGGAAATAATCACATTCATGCATTTGACTAATTATAAATATTGAATGAAGATTGAACGACTCATTTTATTCCAATAAATTTAACTTATAATATATATTTGAGATTTTAAGATGTAAATTGTTTGATTTACATTTTTTCATGTACACGTATGCATGGACCCTAGATCCAATGGTTACACTTTCATACCTATAGTGGCGGTTAAGGACGAAGCTAACAAAATCTTCACTTTACATCTTTTTAAAAAAATATTTTATATTAATATATATATATATATATATATATATATATATATATATTTCAGATTTTATAATTTAAAAGTTATTTTTTACATTTTTAAAAATGTACTTTAAAGAGTCTATACAAATATAACTATTTTTTCAAGATTCTTCTCTTAAATATATTTTTATTTTTTTTATTAAAATATATTATTATTAGTTTATAAAAACTTCATTTTAAAAGATTTTTAGGCGTAATAATATATTGGATTGTTCAAGTGATGTGCAATTTCAGTTGTTTGAATGTATACCTTCGACTGAATTAAAACTCATTTGTTTATATTTTTCTCTCATTCATTATTAGAAATAAATTTTCTATATTGTATATTGTTTGTTAGTAGTTGTCACATTCTGATAGAGGTTGTTAGACTTGTTTTTTGTTTCTTAGCTCAATATATATAGCTAGGTCCATGTATCTTTTCATTTGGGTTGATCTAACGAGCAATTAAGATATTTTTCACTTTTATGAGTTTGTTATTCTCTCTGCAAAATACTAATATGGTGTCACTGTTGTAACAACCTTCTTCGTTTTTCGTAAGAAAATTCTCTTCATCTCTTGCTCAGATTTCTGATCAACCATGGTGAATTCAAGCCAAAACAACGCCCATGGCATTCTCACTCAAACTCCATCATTAGATCATCTCGTTAATCTGGCAAATCCATTATATCTTCATCCCGGAGAAAATTTGGCATTTGATCTTATTTCTCCGCTCTTGATTGAGAGCAATTTTCACCAATGGGAACATGACATGGTGGTTTCTCTTGATACAAAGAACAAAGAGAAGTTCGTCAATGGCGGGCTTCCGTGTCCTCTGATCACATATCCTCTTTATGATGCTTGGTGCAGGTGCAATTGTATGGTGATGTCTTGGCTCACATGATCCATGAGTCCATCGATTAAGCAGTCTGTAATGTGGATGGACACTGCAGCTAAAATGTGGAAAAATCTCAAAGATTGTTTCTCACATGCTAACAAATTTCATGTTGCTGAGCTTCAGGATTAGATCCAAAATTACAAACAAGGGGATTCAAGTGTCTCTGAATATTATACTTGGTTGAAGATCTTGTGGAAAGAAATTGAAATGTATGGATGGGTTCTAATTTGCACCTGTTCGACATCTTTTTCCTATGGACTCCTTCAAAAATTGTAGAAAGAAAGGGAAGATGACTGCATCATTCATTTTCTTTGAGGCTTGAATGACGAATATTCTCAAGTGTGGTCTCAAGTGATGATTATGGATCCAATGCCATCAATTGTCAATAGTTTTTCCATGATACTTCAGCATGAACGAGAATTTGTGGGTAACTCCTTCAAACCTTCTTCTCAAGATTCTGTTGCTTTTGCTGTTCTTCAAAATGATTCAACCAAATACAATAACAACAATAAAGGTAATACCGCAATGAACAAGAACAACCATAATTCTAGTAAAACTAATAACAACAAATATTGTTAGAAATGTAAGAAAACCAATCACACCATTGAAACTTGTTATTAGAGGATTGGTTTTCATATTGGATACAGAAAGTTAAATAAATGTAATTCATCTGGTTCAAATGCCTTTGCTAGTTTGGTGGAAGCAAATTCAGGTACATCTTCACATCACTCTGACTTGGTTGATAGCTCTAACCATGACCAATTTAGTTTCTCAAAGGAACAATATCAGGCTATTATGGCTCTTCTTCAATAGTCCAAGGACAATTCATCCTCTGTTAACCATACTCAAACCTCACTTGTGAATCTTTCAAGTGACATTTCTTGTCCCTCTTTATGGATTTTGGATAGTGGTGCCACAGACCATATTTGTCCATCCAAATCCTTTTTCGAATTCCTCAAACCTATAAAACCAATTCACATAAAATTACCAAATAATACAATCATCATTGCTAATTTCTTTGGCAATTTTCATCTAGGCAAACTAACTCTTGTCAATGTTCTCTATGTACCAGATTTTGCTGTCCATCTCATATCCATTCCTAAACTTATTTCCACTATTAGTTGCTTGGTTATATTCTTGATGCACATTGTTTAATTATGCATAAATTCAATTTTCAGATGATTGGAGCAACTAAGTGATGGAATGAGTTATTCTACTTGTAAGACTCAAGTGGCTTGGGCTCATGTGGATATCCTTCTAATAATCTTTTATCATCTTCAAACTTTTCAAATGTAATTACTACTGATAGTTCTATGTTGTGGCATCTTAGATTGGGTCACTCTTAAAATAAAGTGTTGAAACATTTATCTTCTAAATACAATGATATTGTTTTTGATTGCTTACATCCTTGTGATACATGTCACTATGCAAAACAGAAGAGACTACCTTTTGTTGTTACTAATAGTAGAAGTTCCATATTTTTTGAACTCATACATATGTACATATGGGGCCCAGTTTCCACTTCTTCTATTGATGGTTTTAAATACTTTTTCACTATAGTGGATGACTTTACCAAGTTTACTTGGATTTACCCACTACAAGCTAAATCTCATGTCAAATGCATTCTTCCTTCTTTCATTCAATTAATTGAAATCTAGTTTGAATTAAAATTGAAGAAACTCATATCTGACAATGGCAAAGAGTTTTACTTAAATGAATTTTTCGCTACAAAAGGCATCTTCCATGAAACTTCATGTGTTGAAACCATTCAACAAAATGGTATTGTTGAGAGGAAACATCAACACTTATTAAATGTTAGTCATGCCTTGTTTCAAGCAAATTTAACAACTTATTTTTGGTCCTTTGCTATCAAACATGCCACTCACATCATTAATAGACTACCTACTCCTTTTTTAAAATATAAAACTCCTTATGAATTAGTGTATGGTCATGCTCCTGATTTAAACCTTTTAAGACTCTTTGGATGTCTGGCCTATGCTAACAAAATCAGTTCTATAAGAATGAAATTTGACAAAAGAGCTTCCAAGTGCATTTTCTTAGGTTTTAAAGCTGGAACTAAAGGATATATTTTATATAATCTCAAACACAAGTCATGTGTCATTTATAGAAATGTCATCTCCTATGATAAGCATTTTCCTTATGCCAATGACTCTTTAAATTCTTCTAACATAGATACTACATGTAGCATTACTACTTCAAAGTTTGATGCTCTTATTACTTTTAACACTCCTAACCTGAATCTAAACACTGATGATTAAAACAATTTTTTACCTTTAATACATGATCATGGTTCAGTTATTCCCACAGAGAATATTGAATCTTCTTCTCATGACTCTCCCCAAGTCATTGAGCCTGCAACAAGAGTTTCCACAAGGACTAAGAAGCCTCCTTCATACTTAGTTGATTATCATTGTTCTACAATAGCTTCATCTAATGTTACTTATAACACTCATTATGCTTTACATTCTTATCTTTCTTATTTCAAATGCTCTAATTCTCATACTGCTTTTTTCTTATCTATTTTTGGTACAATTGATCCCACTTTTTTCAAAGAAGCAAGTCAACTTAAATGTTGGAGGAAAGCCATGCTAGCTGAATTAAAAGCTATAGAGAGGAATAAAACTTGGTCATTGGTTAAACTTCCTCTAAGAAAGATAATTGTGGGATGTAAATGGGTTTATAGAACCAAATACAAGGTAGATGGATCCATAAAAAGACATAAAGCAAGGTTGGTTGCTAAGGGTTTCACACAACTAGAG